AGCCGAGATCCTCCAGCCTGAGCAACAGAGCAAGACTCTGTCTCAAAAAAAAAACAAAAACAAAAACAAAAACAAAAAATTAGCCAGGGGTGGTGCTGCACACCTGTAGTCCCAGCTACTTGGGAGGCTGAAGCGCAGGAGAATCGCTTGAACCCAGGAGGTGGAGGTTGCAGTGAGCCAAGATCGCGCCACTGCACTCCAGCCTGGGCAACAAGAGCAAAACTCCATCTCAAAAAAAAAAAAAAAGAAGCTACCAAAAATACAGAAGGCACGGTGGCTCATTCCAGTAATCCCAGCAATTTGGGAGGCTTGAGGCGGGCGGATCACTTGAGGTCAGGAGTTTGAGACCAGCTTGGCCAACATGGTGAAATCCTATTTCTACCAAAAAAACAAAAACTGGCATGGTGGCGGGTGCCTGCAGTCCCAGCTACTGAGGAGGCTGAGGCAGGAGAATCGCTTGAATCTGGGGGGGTCCAAGATCGCGCCACTGCACTCCAGCCTGGGAGACAGAGCAAGACTGTCTCAAAATAATAAATTAAGTAAAATAAAAATGCTACAAAAATACAGCGCGTTTGTTTTCAAACAGACTGATTAAAGGCGCAACCACATGTAATTCATTTTGTTTAGAAGTTTCTTTTCCCACCCAAGTAGAAATCAAGTCTTAAATTACGAAAAGCACTAATAGAAGTATGTCTCAGCCCCAGCGCGCTGACCCGTGGTTGGGATACCGGCCCTGGAGCCCAGAGGTCGGGGCCCACCCGCCGGGGGAGGTCTGGGCTCTGTCCTGGTCTCCACGCAGCTCGCGCACTCCTGGGGCCGAGGTACCAAGGCGACCGGCGCACGGCCAGCGCCGTCTCCACAACAGGGCAGGGCGCGCGGCTGCGAGGGAGGCCTCGCCCCTCCGCTCCCCTCCCCTGTCCTCCGCCCAGGCCCTCGGGGCGCGACGTCCCCCACGTGCTCCCCTCACCCGACCGCGAGGTCAGTGGGCGTGCGGGACCCCGGAGCAGGAAACTCCGCGGCCTCTGCGGCTCTGTGGTGCGCTCCCCTCCACCGCCGCAGCCCCCGAGCCCGTGTATCTTTCTGCTTTTAAGGCATCGCAGCCTCCTCGGCCTGGAGGCCCCGGGCTCGTTCCGTGCGGACCCCGCTCTAGAACCGGCCCAGCGCGCAGATGCCGTGTCCCGGCGCAGGACCGGCGACGGCGCAACTCTGGACACGGAGCCGCCGCCGGGCCTGCCCTTCCCACCTCCCGAAAGGACCTCCCGGGCTCAGAGCCAGGACTGCGCTCGCCCGAGGCCCGTCGGGCCCGCCCTCCCCCCCCCGGCACCCGGCGCGCAGCTGCCCGCCGCCCGACCGGAAGCCCGCGCTGGGCCCCACCCCGTTCGCGCGCCTCCCGCGACACTGCGGCGGTTACCAGGACGCTGACCCAGCGCAGCCAATAGCGCCAGCCTGGCGGCGTGCTCCCGGCAGCCAGCCAATGAGAGGGCAAATCAATCATTTGAAACACCCAATGGACGGAGCACTGCAGCGCCGGGGGTGGATTGTGATAGGGAGATAGGAGGCTGCGGCTGACCAATAAAGATCAAACTGGCTTAAAAAGGCGGACCTTAGGCGGCTCGATGAACGAGGGCGAGACCAATCAAACGAGGGAGCTTGCCAGCCTCGTTCTGGCAGCCCAATCCGAGGCTGGCGGAGGCGGGCGCGGAGGGTATATAAGCGTTAGCGGAGCGTCGGTTGTAGCACTTTGCGCGCCTGCTGCTTCGCTTCTGTTTCTCAACTTCCGCCCGCGTCCCAGCCGCCGCCGCCATCATGAGGGAAATCGTGCACCTGCAGGCCGGGCAGTGCGGCAACCAAATCGGCGCCAAGGTAAGTTGCCGGGGCGCTGGGGCCGTCGCGGGCCTGCCGGGCGGGGCGGGCGGGCAGCCGGGGAAGATGGCGGCAGCAGCGGCCGGGCGGCGTCCCCGCATTGCGGCCGCCGGACCCCCTCCTCGGGGACTGGGCCGAGCCTGGCGACCGAAGCCCCCAGGAACCCGGGGGCCAAGGCGCGCAGGGCGGGGGAGGGGCGGGGAGGGCCGGGCTGCCGCACCCGTCCGGGGCGGGGCTGCCTCCCTGCGCACCGGCCGCGGTGACTCAGCCCCGACCCGCCCGGGCCCGCCCGCGTCCCTTGTAGTTCTGGGAGGTGATCAGCGATGAGCACGGCATCGACCCCACGGGCACCTACCACGGGGACAGCGACCTGCAGCTGGAGCGCATCAACGTGTACTACAACGAGGCCACCGGTGAGGCCCCGGCCCTTTCCCCGACCGCCCTCCGGGGACCCCGCGGCCCCTGCCCTGGCTGACGCCCTCCCGTCCCCGCAGGCGGCAAGTACGTGCCCCGCGCCGTGCTCGTGGATCTGGAGCCCGGCACCATGGACTCCGTGCGCTCGGGGCCCTTCGGGCAGATCTTCCGGCCGGACAACTTCGTCTTCGGTGAGCTGCGGCTGGGGGCTGGGCGGCGGCTCAAAGGTCAAGGGGCTGCTCCAAGGGCACCTCCGTGGGAACTGCGCAGCCCGGGCCCCTGGACGCTCTTCTTTGAACCACTCAATCCCCTCTCCTAAATCGGCTTTGAGAGCAAGGTCCAGCTGTCTGCCGAGGCGAGGAGCCGCCACACACGTAATCTCCCTGCAGGGAGCTGAGCTGGGGGCAGTGGCTGTTGCTCTGTCCTTGGGAATTGGCAGTGGCCCCCCCCTCCCCGGGGAGGGGTTTGTTAAGCTCTCAGGTTTGGCTCTTGACTTAATCTGTAGCAGGGCAGGCTGCTGTCCTTTCACTTTGAGGGGTCTGTTTGGTCTACCTGCAGGGTGAATTCTGGGGTCAGTTCACACCATGTCACTAGGTCCTTTTCGCATGGTGGTGGTGACCAGTAGTACTGTCTACTTGGCTGATAAATGACTGTTTTCTCACAGGTCAGAGTGGTGCTGGGAACAACTGGGCCAAGGGGCACTACACAGAAGGCGCGGAGCTGGTGGACTCGGTGCTGGATGTTGTGAGGAAGGAGGCTGAGAGCTGTGACTGCCTGCAGGGATTCCAGCTGACCCACTCCCTGGGTGGGGGGACGGGGTCTGGGATGGGTACCCTCCTCATCAGCAAGATCCGGGAGGAGTACCCAGACAGGATCATGAACACGTTCAGTGTGGTGCCTTCGCCCAAGGTGTCAGACACAGTGGTGGAGCCCTACAACGCCACCCTCTCCGTCCACCAGCTGGTAGAAAACACAGACGAGACCTACTGCATTGATAACGAAGCTCTCTACGACATTTGCTTCAGAACCCTAAAGTTGACCACGCCCACCTATGGTGACCTGAACCACCTGGTGTCTGCTACCATGAGTGGGGTCACCACCTGCCTGCGCTTCCCAGGCCAGCTCAATGCTGACCTGCGGAAGCTGGCTGTGAACATGGTCCCATTCCCCCGCCTGCACTTCTTCATGCCCGGCTTTGCCCCACTGACCAGCCGGGGCAGCCAGCAGTACCGGGCCCTGACCGTGCCCGAGCTCACCCAGCAGATGTTTGATGCCAAGAACATGATGGCTGCTTGTGACCCCCGCCATGGCCGCTACCTGACGGTTGCTGCCGTGTTCAGGGGCCGCATGTCCATGAAGGAGGTGGACGAGCAAATGCTTAATGTCCAAAACAAAAACAGCAGCTATTTTGTTGAGTGGATCCCCAACAATGTGAAAACAGCTGTCTGTGACATCCCGCCCCGGGGGCTAAAAATGTCCGCCACCTTCATCGGCAACAGCACGGCCATCCAGGAGCTGTTCAAGCGCATCTCCGAGCAGTTCACGGCCATGTTCCGGCGCAAGGCCTTCCTGCACTGGTACACGGGCGAGGGCATGGACGAGATGGAGTTCACCGAGGCTGAGAGCAACATGAACGACCTGGTGTCTGAGTACCAGCAGTACCAGGACGCCACGGCCGAGGAGGAGGGCGAGTTCGAGGAGGAGGCTGAGGAGGAGGTGGCCTAGAGCCTTCAGTCACCGGGGAAAGCAGAGAGGCAGTGCGAACTCTTTATTCACTCCCAGCCTGTCCTGTGGCCTGTCCCGCTGTGTGTGCACTTGCTGTTTTCCCTGTCCTCATCCCATGCTGTACAGACACCACCATTAAAGCATTTTCATAGTGTGCGGTTTCGCCTTGCCCATTCCTTCCAGTAGGCCCTCCGGGTGCTATTGCCGAATGTCAGCGCGTAGTTGTCCTGCATGGCTGCGGGGAGCCAGGCTGTAGGTGAGCTGGGCTTACTTATCCAGGGACCAGCATGGGCTGGACACCCAGGCTTCAGAGAAGCGTGCGGCTGCCCTGGACCCTGGGGATCTGCTTGGTGGGGAACCTGCTTCTTGAAGGCAGGCCTGTCCTGTTCTGGGTACCCAACCTTGGGGCCTATTGGCCTGTGTCTGGGACTTTAGCCCCCTTCTTAAAGGGGTAGGGAGGATGGCAGACAATCCTACCCCAACCAAGGTGGGACCCTGGTTGGTAACAGTGGTCAGACAGGTGGTCCTGAACCAGCAATGAAGGGTGGGCAGGTATAGCTGCCCCTCCCCACGTTGGCCAGGGTGTGTCGGTGTGACCCTTCCCGCCCTGTACTCACAGGGGATGAACCCCATGTAGAAGGGGATCAGGCCTTGGCTGCTGTAGATGTGGTTGCTGGGCCAGTGTGTTCCAGGCAGCTTCTCACCCAGGTCACAGTGGGGGTTTCTAAATAGGAACTGGGGAGACAGGCAGGTGCTGACAAGCTGCCTCCCCAGCAGGCAACCAGATAGTAAACTCTCCCAGTGGGGGCCTGGCCGGAGGGCCGGCACTTCCGTGGGGAAGCTGCTTTCCGTGGGGAAGCTGCTTGTGCTCCCAGCCTTCTGCATCCCCCTACCCCCAACTCCCGAAACTTGAGTGCAGGGATCCAAGCAAGACTCAGGAGAGGGGTTGGGGTGGCACCTCCAGGGACAGGAGAGAGCCAGAGCCCCGGGGGCTAAAAATGTCCGCCACCTTCATCGGCAACAGCACGGCCATCCAGGAGCTGTTCAAGCGCATCTCCGAGCAGTTCACGGCCATGTTCCGGCGCAAGGCCTTCCTGCACTGGTACACGGGCGAGGGCATGGACGAGATGGAGTTCACCGAGGCTGAGAGCAACATGAACGACCTGGTGTCTGAGTACCAGCAGTACCAGGACGCCACGGCCGAGGAGGAGGGCGAGTTCGAGGAGGAGGCTGAGGAGGAGGTGGCCTAGAGCCTTCAGTCACCGGGGAAAGCAGAGAGGCAGTGCGAACTCTTTATTCACTCCCAGCCTGTCCTGTGGCCTGTCCCGCTGTGTGTGCACTTGCTGTTTTCCCTGTCCTCATCCCATGCTGTACAGACACCACCATTAAAGCATTTTCATAGTGTGCGGTTTCGCCTTGCCCATTCCTTCCAGTAGGCCCTCCGGGTGCTGTTGCCGAATGTCAGCGCGTAGTTGTCCTGCATGGCTGCGGGGAGCCAGGCTGTAGGTGAGCTGGGCTTACTTATCCAGGGACCAGCATGGGCTGGACACCCAGGCTTCAGAGAAGCGTGCGGCTGCCCTGGACCCTGGGGATCTGCTTGGTGGGGAACCTGCTTCTTGAAGGCAGGCCTGTCCTGTTCTGGGTACCCAACCTTGGGGCCTATTGGCCTGTGTCTGGGACTTTAGCCCCCTTCTTAAAGGGGTAGGGAGGATGGCAGACAATCCTACCCCAACCAAGGTGGGACCCTGGTTGGTAACAGTGGTCAGACAGGTGGTCCTGAACCAGCAATGAAGGGTGGGCAGGTATAGCTGCCCCTCCCCACGTTGGCCAGGGTGTGTCCGTGTGACCCTTCCCGCCCTGTACTCACAGGGGATGAACCCCATGTAGAAGGGGATCAGGCCTTGGCTGCTGTAGATGTGGTTGCTGGGCCAGTGTGTTCCAGGCAGCTTCTCACCCAGGTCACAGTGGGGGTTTCTAAATAGGAACTGGGGAGACAGGCAGGTGCTGACAAGCTGCCTCCCCAGCAGGCAACCAGATAGTAAACTCTCCCAGTGGGGGCCTGGCCGGAGGGCCGGCACTCTCCGTGGGGAAGCTGCTCTCCGTGGGGAAGCTGCTTGTGCTCCCAGCCTTCTGCATCCCCCTACCCCCAACTCCCGAAACTTGAGTGCAGGGATCCAAGCAAGACTCAGGAGAGAGGGGTTGGGGTGGCACCTCCAGGGACAGGAGAGAGCCAGACAGAGCCCCTTCAGGCTTCTCAGGGAACCTGGCCTTCAAGGCACTCTCCAGGGAAGCTACCAGGCAGGAGAGGAAGTGTGTGTGTGAGCTGGGAGCAGGCCCTGATGGCGCTCTCCTACCTGGCTCTTGTCGAACTCGTCCATGGCTTGCGTGACGCCGTCTCGGTAATTCACCCCCATTACCCAGGCGAACCGGGGAATGAAGCCAGCATAGCCTGGGGGTGGGCAGACGTGCGGGCTACCCCAGGCCCCCTTGGCCCTCCCCTGGGCACATCCACCTGCCCCCAGACGTGTCAGGGAAGCCAGGCAAGGCTCCCTTTCTTCCCGAAACGTTGGTAACTGCCTGATGTGGCCAAATGGGAACAGGCAGGCAGGGCACTGCCTCGTCTTGGGAAAAGCTGGGCTCCTGGAAGCAGCTGGGAGGCAGAGAAGGTCCCCCCAGCCCGCTAGCCCATTCTGGAGCAGGAAAAGTGGGCCCCTGTGACAGTCTCCTCAGGGGCTCTCACACTGCAAGAACCTTGTGGGGAGGGGCGTCCTTGTCCAGCCCAACCCGTGCCCGCACCCACCTGAGATGGCCTTGCGTTGGATCAGGTTGGGGTGGTCCAGCTGCGGCAGCCGCTGGAACCTGCCCACATCTAGTGTCTCCTGCTGGCGGGCGGGGGGTGGGTACTCATCCCTCCGGCAGTGGTACAGCTGGAGCGGGGAGGGGGTGAAGGTCATGGTGCGGCTCCCACCTGGGGCTGAGCAGAATGGGCTTGGCACTGGTGCATCCCCCGGCTACCTGGTGCTGCCTGGGGGTCTCGCAGACAGGAGTGGTGCTCTTCCAGGCATCTTCGCAGTATGCTGGGTGTCCCAAGTCTCTGGACTCCCCCTTCCTGCCTGGTGGGCACGGTGGGTGCGGGGGGTAGGGCATGACATCTGCAGGTAGCAGAATCTGTCTGGCTATGTTCTCTACCCCTGGCGGCTCCTGGGCGTCCACCTCCAAGGGTGGGAGCTGGCCAAGGATCTCAAAGTTCTTATAGGGCTTCAGACCTGTACCAACAGGGCAGCCTGTGAGTGCCAGGACAGGCAGGCGGGCGCAGGAGGGTGCAGGGTTGGGGACTGGCGGCTCACTGGTGTAGTGGGGAATGTAAGGCTCCATCAGGTCTCGGCAGGGAACCCTCGGGGGCTTGGACTGGCTGAAGTCCTCAATGAACTTGGGCTTGGACATGGGGGACAGCACAGAGCAGGGGCTCTTCTGCACACTGGGGTCTGTGAGGAGCTGCCCCGTGGTACGCCCATAGGTGTTCCCCACCTGGTAGCGCAGCTGTGGAAAGAAGCCGGCATAGCTGTGGAGGGAAGAGAAGGAGGCAGGGCAGGTCTCAAGGGCAGCCCCAGCACTGGGCAGGGCCCCTTCAAGCCAGATGTGGATCCAGCCTGCCGGCCACTTAGCAGCAGCTTGGCCTGTGGCAGGTCACCTGCCCTCTGCTCACCTGTAAATGGGGCTGCAGTGGCACTTGCCTTCCGGGGCTCTCATAGCCTAAACGGGTGGCACACACCACATGCTGGGAACACGTCAGCACCACAGCAGATAGCCGCCTGCCTTGTACCAGCCCCTCCAACCCCCTCACACCCCTCATTCCAGCGACTCCGGGGTGCTCTGCCCTGGCAAGGCAAGTACAGGCACAGGACGTGTGGGCAAGGGCGTAGGCGAGGGACGGCCCCTTGGACACACACTGGGCCCACCAGGAGGGTGTTGGGTGGGCTTGGCCTGCACCTGTGCCACTCCGAGAGGCCAGTAGCCTCCTGCACAGGACCAGGACTGGGAGGCAGGTGGAGAGCTGGGCTTTTCTGGACCCTCATTTGGCCTCATGGGCGTGGTGCAGGCAGTCACAGGTGGTTCAGCGCCTCAGGGTCTATGTGATTATTCAAGGAGTAAGAACTACCTTCCTTTTAAAAATTGCCAAAGGGCCGGGTGTGGTGGCTCACGCCTGTAATCCCAACACTTTGGAAGGCTGAGACTGGGGGATCATGAGGTCAGGAGATCTAGGCAATCCTGGCTAACACCATGAAACTCTGTCTCTACTAAAAATACAAAAATTAGTGGAGTGTGGTGGTGGGCGCCTGCAGTTCCAGCTACTCGGGAGGCTGAGGCAGGAGAATTGCTTGAACCCAGGAGGCGGAGGTTGCAGTGAGCTGAGATTCGGCCCACTTGCACCTCCAAGCCTGGGTGACAGAAGCAGACTCCGTCTCAAAAAAAAAAAATTAGGGCGGCGGCCGTGGTGGTGGTGCCTGTTAATCCCAGCTACTCAGCGGAGGCTGAGACAGGAGATATCGCTTGAAACGCAGGGAGGCGGAGGTTGCCAGTGAGCCGAGTCGGCAAAAACACTGCACGTCCAGCTTGGGGCAATGACGAGACTTTGTTTCAAAATAAATAAATAAAAATAAAAATGGCCAAAATTAGCGCAGCCTTGTCAGTTTAAAAGCCGAGCAACTGGCCAGGCGCGGTGGCTCACGCCTGTAATCCCAGCAGTTTGGGAGGCCGAGACAGGTGGATCACGATCACGAGGTCAGGAGATGGAGACCATCCTGGCTAACACAGTGAAACCTCATCTCTACTAAAAATACAAAAAATTAGCCGGGCGTGGTGGCGGGTGCCTGTCGTCCCAGCTACTCGGGAGGCTGAGGCAGGAGAATGGCG